ACTTCCTTACACGATATTTCAGATATATCGTAATATCCACGCCCATCAAATTGTCTTTGAATTTATTTATCCTAATAATTTTCTTTGAAGATTACGTTACGAAGCTCTTTATTATGCAGGTTTCCCCAATCATCTGTTACTTGTCTCTTTTTGGTTCCAACGTTCTTCTCAGAATTCTGTTCTCAAAGACCCCGAATCTATATTCTTCACTTAGAGTGAGAAACAAAGTCTTACATCTACGTGAAATAACGTATACTTTATGGAATTTAGATAAGAGACGGAAAGATAAAATATTCTCTCCGAAGTTGTGCTAGTCAGCATTCCCTGAACTTAATACGTTTTTAGTTTCTTACTTAATACCGTTTTGATTCGTTGCTGATATTCTAAAATATTTAATTGTGTCACATTTAATGAGAAGTCATTGAAATGGACTACTGAGTTATTTTCTGACTTTCATACGAAACTAATTGATTTTTCACTCATGGATTAGTTGACTGGCTAAATATGCTAAGAAAATAAATATTGCAGTAACTAAACAACCCTTAATTTAATTACTGAAGTAAAAGTGATTATTTGTGGTGGGAATTTAGGCTAAATTGTAGCACAGTTATATAATGTTGGATATTAAGAAAATAATGTATGAGAAAATGAATTGTGATTAACTGGGATTTTTTAAGGTTTCGTGGCTGACGTTTTGCGACAAGGCTCATAGTGATGAAGCTTTCTGTTCTTATTTTTCTCTCCTTCCATTACATGGAGCCGTCAGGGCGGTGCCTCAAACCGCCATTAGTGGTTACTGATTGACAAACACGTGTTCCGAAACACAACACACTTTTAAAATTATAACAAACTTCACACCCTTCGAGAAAGAAGTGTCATACTGACGGTAGATTAAAAATCGATTAATTAGAAATGACAAATTGGCAAAGCCATAATGTTTTACAAATGAGCTGTAAAAATGGGTGTATGCTTACAGCAGGCACTCTTATTAGAAGCAGAGGATATTAAAAGATAGCTGTTACGTGCTTCAAAGAAAAGAAGGACGAGAATAATGTGCGTCATGATGCACGTGTTCTGACGCTTTCTGTGGTAAAATGTTGGAAAAGTGTGCCCGGGAATCTAAAGCAAACAGTGTGCATCTTTCAGTTATTTTGAAGTAACCTGACTTTGAATCGTGATTCAGTAATATTGTTGTTGGCACGGGACGAACACTCTGATAAGCCTCATTCAGGGGGGTGTTCAAAATTTCTGCCCGTAAGTGTTTGATGGTTTAAGAAATGGTAGCTTTTTGAAAACAATTACAGTTAAATATTTTGTGATAGAACTAGTAAATATTAATGCACTTAGGAAATTTTATTTCTGATTGCGTCAATTGAAGTAAATGGTCAACAAAGGATATACATCGTACAAAGGAGCACTTCGTATTCATAAAGGTTTCCATGTATTGTTACAAATGTGAAATCTAGGATGCTACAATGAGCGAAAAATGTAGGTAGGGTAGGTAAGACAAGGGATTCTTATGAGGAAATTTGTTTGCGACTGGCCGGCCAAGTGTAAGTCAAAGAAGGATGGAGAATATTTTTTAGATTAAGTTGTATTTGAGGTTTTCTTGACAACTGTCATCTGGACTGTAGCGCCATTTATTGTGGTAGAAGTTTACTAGTGTTTCATAGGTACTTTCTGCCTCCTTCATCAGGCTGATGTCAGGACTTCTATTAGACTACACGGCACTACAGCCCAGAGGACAGACATCTTCAAATATTAAGAGTGATCTTTGAGAAGTTGGTTCTGTAGATGGGAGGTGAATATAACATGAAACAAGAAACAAATGAACGAAAATACAAAGAAATATAAAGACACGAAGACGGAGAAACAAGAAATAATGCGTGAAAGGAAGAAAGGAAGGAAAATAATAAATTTAGGAATGACGTAAGAAGGAAGTGGAGCGATGAAAATAAATATGACGAAGGGGCCGAATGAAGACAGTCAGTAATGTGTAATAAAACACTTTAAAATAACAGTCTTGCCTTTGTGTGTGTATGCGTATTCTAGCAACTGCTGGGGATCCAATACAGAAAGAAAACAAATACCAGTACGAAATAAGTTAAGTGTTATCTAGAAATCTACTACTTCTTACCTTCTGTTGTTTTACATAAAGGTTATCTTCATCGGTAGGCTAGTCCCATAATGAAGTCGTCCATATTCTTTTCTTAATTATTCCAGTTTTTACCTTGACCAGGAGGAGTCGGGCAGAGGTAACGTTGCATTTTTCCACATTGCCTTACTCACGGGCACGCAGTTTCTCCTTGACATTATCACCTGTCCCCATCAGCTAACAGGATTAGCCTTATGCTACATTCTTGCATGTGTTAAGAGACGTACTTGAGCAGCAAGGCAGTCTTTCGACTGCAGTCGTTAATAATACAAAATTAGTTTAATGACAGTTGAAATTCTCGTAAGTATTCGTCACTACTAACATTATGTTGGAGGGTCTTTCTTTCTAAAATTTTGTAGTTGCTTAACAGATCAGGAAATTCTCCACATTTAACGAAATCGTTATCTTAATTACCATATTCTCAAGGTAACACCCATGGACCCTGTTCTGAACCAGACGTATTCATCTGCATTGTATTTCTGTTAAAATAATTTTAATTGTATCTGCCCTCTACCCTATTCTGAATCACCTGAATGTAATCCACATCGTCATACCCTATTTGATTGCGATCTATTTTAGTATTAATCTCCCTACTCGCTTTTATGAGCCGATGTAATCTAGTCCTTACTCTTCTTCTGTTTATGTAACGCTCATATTAATATTATTCTCCCATTTCGCCTATGTCTCGAATTTTTCTCCAACTTAGAACTTTTCTTACATTAACTTTGTATTATTCTCTGATCTTTCACATGCGTGCTACATGTCTGGCATAATAACAATTATTTATCAGTTCTTTGACGCTAGTCATCAGAGAAGACTGTGTTAGTTCTCGGCCCCTTAACAGGAGACGCGGATGTGTCCCGTCAGTGAACAGGGCTGAGTGACAATGGATACCAGAGTCTTGCCGGGGCAGATGGCAGTGTTATCGGCACTCAGCCCGCTTTCAGCTGCCCTGTCCGATCCTCAATCATGATTAATGGGAACATTTTAATAATAGAACTTACACTGCACGTTTATTAACTTTTTGGCACATTATTTACTTGTTTTTGTGTTAAATTTCGGTGATGGGAAGCAGGTCATTAAGGCAGAGCAAAGAATAAGAAACGTGCAGACGAGAGATGGAAGGCAAGGAATGTGTCATACCGATCCTGCGCATGGCGTGTCTGGCTTGGTGTTTTCTGAACTTTTGACACGTCCGTTGCTATAGTTCTTATGTGCCGTGGGCAACGTTTGGTTCCCATCAGGGACAGAGACGTCCTCTCTAACGCCAGGGTACTCGAAGGCTCGGCCAGTCTTGTCTCAAAAGTAAAGGCAGTTCTGTTCTTTTACTATAGTGAAAAGTTCTTCAAAGTTTGTCTTCACGACATTCATGAGCTTTAATATCCCGATGCTTTGGTAGAGGAAAAAACTTTCACTCCCATTTTTACTATAAACCATGGGACAAATTTTCATATTCTTGTATGCTTATGGAGTACGTCACTGAATTGTATGACTCAAGGTCACATCAAAATTGTAAGAGATTGCATCATAAACGGCGTAGTACAGACGAGTGAAGATAGCTCACAACTCGCAGCGTAACGCAGTACTGTGCTGTTGACTCAGAGCTCTTATTGTCACTCCATTCCTGTGAGATGAAGAGACATTTTTAGAATAAGTAAAGTAAAAAGAGATATTTATTTGTGTATCCCATCTGGATTCGAAACCACGATCCCAGTGACCACGCGGCCACTGTGACGGCTATTTTTATATATGAAACTTAAAAGTGTATGTTGTGATGTGGATGGTCGAATCTAATTCGCTGAATTTAATTTAATTTTATTTTTGCCACGAATATAATTTAGGTTTGTGTTGTCGTTTCCAAATTGTTTAATTCCACCGCAACAAAGATGCAGTCAATTTGTAACATAGAATATCTGTGGTTAAGGCGTATTGATAAAGTACCTAACTGTAGACGAAGTCGCCTTTCTTCTAAATCCACTCTGTCCTTTGCTCGGAGCCACAGAATACAGTAGCCCTGGGAGTTACTTGTCTGTTGGTTTCAAGATAAATGTGCAGTAATTTTATCAGGAACAATGAATGTCAGGCATGGAACTTTCCACCGGCGAAAACCGCACCAAATCTTTTGTTACTTGTTGTGTGCTTAAGATTTACGAATATGGACTTTTTGATAGTTTTAATGTATTGCGGGCTATTGGGATACATAGGGTACAGGGGGCAGTAATAGTTTTGCTTTGTCGTGATGAGGGGGTCGTGTTGGGGGGGGGGGGGGGGGGGGGAGGAGGAAATGATTTTTATGCCTATTGTCACGCAATCTCACAAACTACGGATTGAATTTACTATAGGTTGTTTCGAAATATGGATTGCATTACGACGAAACAGAGTATGCGCCATTCCGTCCTTTATATTGTACGTCATCGAAACGTTCTGAAATTTCGTTTATAACACAGAAGGCGCCATCTTACGGCTGGCCTTTCTTTCTTGTGTTTGAATATCATGAGATCGATCCTCATGAAGATTTTCATTTGCCTTTTGAGTTTCCTGTTATTGGTATTATTTTAAGACAGAGGTTCTCAAATTATCTTCCGCGGAACATCTAGTATCTGTGAAAATTTTTTCAGGGAATGTTTGCTTCTTTTAATTATATAACGTAGTTTTATCAACTGCGCAATTTATTTAGCTTTGAATGAGAAGGATTGGGAGGAAGATATAAGGAATGGTCGTGTTCTGTTTTAAGGTATTTCTCTTGAATAGTCTTCTCTCTCTCACGTGCGTGTCCTTTAGGCCTGTGGTAAGTGTAACAGTTTTTCGTAATTATTTTATCTCTAATATAGGCCTATGATTGCAGAATGCAATCCAACGCAGCGCAACGCGGGCCTACAACAGCCATGGATATTGAGGACGAGGTAACGAGGACATGATTTTGGACTCAGAATAGAAGAGATACAGAAGGTTGCATACAATTTTGTAATTAGGACTTTTGTAATTTTCACGTTTTACAAGATATTCTGGCGTAATGGAAGAGGGAGATTCATATGTACTGGGTGGGGCATGTAATACAACGAGAAATAAAAAACCCATATAAAAATATAGTCAGAAACGTAAATTAAGAAGATCTAGGAATAGATGGAAGGATAATATTAAAGTGGGTATTAAATAAATTCAGTGTGATGGCGTGTACCGGGCTCAGTTCCTTTGTGGCTTATGTCACTATTTAATTCGGGCTTTTGTGAACACGGCGATAATCCTCCGGGTTTCATAAAGCTCGGGTAATCTGTTGAGCGACTATTTTCTTCTCAACAAACACTGCTCCATACAGTTGAGGTACCCGTAATTAAGAGTTCGATTGTGTTCCTGTGACGAGTGTAGAAAATCCTAATGGACATCTGTAACCGAACTGGATTTGTCTCATCAGGTGTTATATGGCATTTAGAATTCTATAGGACATGTTTTGGGGAGGGGTGAAGAGGTTGAAAATCGCATTAGTCACATCATTGTTTTATAGATACTATTATCACACTGCCTGCAATGTCTTTCATTTCACGTTGCTTTTGCCCTGGGTTTTATGTGCTCTTACCTACAAGCCTGCCCCGAGTTAATTTCCAGAGCCAGTTAGACCACGGGCAGAGAACTAGAGATTGAATAGTAAAGATTGTTTGTTTATTGTCTGGTCTCCCTTGTTCAAATGACTCCACTACATTGTTTAATAGCTTTAACGCAACACGTTTTTCGGTACAGAAGTGACTTATGTAACATTTTGTAGATATCCTGAAATTGACCAATCGCTAGTATGTGGAGTTATATCTCTAGTCCTCCGTATTGAGGGAATCATCCTAGAAGGATGTATCAACATATTTACATAATCGGAGATATTCAGTCTAAGAACATGAACTGTCTATATGTAGATCTTCGTACATCCTTGAAAACCTCAAATCCTACATGTCGATATGTGTGTGATGCTAAAGAGCGTAATGTTGATACAAAGAGTTAAATTTTTGCGTATGAATATTAATAATAGCCTAGCATATTTTGTCACTTCAAGTAAGCTTAAGAATTCGGTTCAGTTTGTTGATGTGCCCTTCTGGCATAATGCCCTCGATTTGTCTTTGTGACCAGGGGTTTGCTTAAATACACTGCTTGTCTTTACATCTGTTGAATGCGTAAGTAACGTAACATTTTTAAATTATATATAAGACATGTTAGATAACTAGATTGTAAATATGGGTGGGGGAGTGGATAGAACTGGCCCAGAATTATAGATAAGATCACAGAAGACGGAGAGGTGTAATCGTATTAGATGTTGTCACTTATGAAATAACCCCGTCTCTGTAGTGACTTACATAGTCTAGGCGTAGTCATGCCATTCTTGGAGTTGTGTCAGATCTGCCGACTTGAATATCTCTCCCATAACTTTGTTATTCTCTCTCCACATCGAGTCTCCTATAGAAATCAGATTACACCCGGAAATTGAGTGGGTTGGCTAAGCTTACAGGTTTTAGCAACACTAAGGATCACTTAGTGCAGAGGCGACGCACTGTTTCTGCTCTGGGGGAACGTGGTTCAAATCTCGGTTTAGTCACCATCTGTTCTGGCTGTTATTTGTCACAGGTTTCTTCAGTATTTCAAACTTTCTGAACAAACTGAAAACGATCTTCTCGTTCCAAATTCTTACTTAGGCTTTTAACCCTCTAGAATCCAGTGGTAACTATATGTACCACCTTCTTAAGCAATTAGTGACTCTGCATTTTATAAGTAAATGCATTTCGTGTGATTCTCAATGTATGAAGCAATTACTCCCTTGAACACCAATAACTAGTTAATCTTTATAATGGGGACATGTTGTTTTCTTTGCGGTATTGAATCCTTAAATATTGTTTAGAGCAGCTTCAGCTTTATAAAGGTTGCGAGATTGTGCTATGGATCCAGATGAACGTATAAAGAAGTCGTCATACTTTATTGCAGTTCTCTTGCCAGGACTTCGAAACCGACGTTGAATATAATTTCTGACAGCAGATACCCAGTCTGTATTCGACAGTACCTGGAATCTTGAAGTGGGTAAGATTGTAAATCAGGAAATCTGACGTATAACAATGTTAACACGGAGTTGTACCACACTTGCTCCGAAGCCAAGAATAACATTGTCCGTAACTAAGGGTTTGATAGCTGTAAGTTTAAACTAATAGTGTTAAGTATCCACCTGAGTCTGCAGATTGGGGATGCTTTTGCTACAAGAACTAGAACCTGAGGAGATGAACATCTAGAAGATACATGAGCAACTTCATGATCTGCACTCTTCAATACTTATTTATAAAGGGATTACATTAAAG